GACTACATCGGAATGGGGGTAGCTTCATTACACGACGCAATGGGAACAGGACCTGAATGAGGAATTGGAAGGCGTTGAATGGCAGGAAATCTGGGAAGCCGCGGCGACCTCTTCTATTTGTGTCACTTTTCAAGAGCAAGCCTACAAGACTATGTTTAGGTGGTATGCTACTCCGGCAAAGCTTTGTAGGATGCATAAAATGGCTACGGATGTTTGCTGGAGAGGATGCGGCCAGAAGGGAACGTACATACATATGCATGCATAAAGAGGATGATGTGGTCAAAATACTCATTTGCTTAATAATTCTGCACTCCCTGTATAGCCACCTTTCTTTGCAAGGACACTCAAAAGCCTGCCATCCATGGATTCTGTCAGTGTTTTGATCTGTTCACCATCAACATTGCGTGCAGCAGCAACCACAGCCTCCCAGACACTGTTCAGAGAGGTGTACTGTTTTCCCTCCTTGTAAATCTCACATTTGATGATGGACCACAGGTTCTCAATGGGGTTCAGATCAGGTGAACAAGGAGGCCATGTCATTAGATTTTCTTCTTTTATACCCTTTCTTGCCAGCCACGCTGTGGAGTACTTGGACGCGTGTGATGGAGCATTGTCCTGCATGAAAATCATGTTTTTCTTGAAGGATGCAGACTTCTTCCTGTACCACTGCTTGAAGAAGGTGTCTTCCAGGAACTGGCAGTAGGACTGGGAGTTGAGCTTGACTCCATCCTCAACCCGAAAAGGCCCCACAAGCTCATCTTTGATGATACCAGCCCAAACCAGTACTCCACCTCCACCTTGCTGGCGTCTGAGTCGGACTGGAGCTCTCTGCCCTTTACCAATCCAGCCACGGGCCCATCCATCTGGCCCATCAAGACTCACTCTCATTTCATCAGTCCATAAAACCTTAGAAAAATCAGTCTTGAGATATTTCTTGGCCCAGTCTTGGCGTTTCAGCTTGTGTGTCTTGTTCAGTGGTGGTCGTCTTTCAGCCTTTCTTACCTTGGCCATGTCTCTGAGTATTGCACACCTTGTGCTTTTGGGCACTCCAGTGATGTTGCAGCTCTGAAATATGGCCAAACTGGTGGCAAGTGGCATCGTGGCAGCTGCACGCTTGACTTTTCTCAGTTCATGGGCAGTTATTTTGCGCCTTGGTTTTTCCACACGCTTCTTGCGACCCTGTTGACTATTTTGAATGAAACGCTTGATTGTTCGATGATCACGCTTCAGAAGCTTTGCAATTTTAAGAGTGCTGCATCCCTCTGCAAGATATCTCACTATTTATGACTTTTCTGAGCCTGTCAAGTCCTTCTTTTGACCCATTTTGCCAAAGGAAAGGAAGTTGCCTAATAATTATGCACACCTGATATAGGGTGTTGATGTCATTAGACCACACCCCTTCTCATTACAGAGATGCACATCACCTAATATGCTTAATTGGTAGTAGGCTTTCGAGCCTATACAGCTTGGAGTAAGACAACATGCATAAAGAGGATGATGTGGTCAAAATACTAATTTGCCTAATAATTCTGCACTCCCTGTAAAGACCTTTTTTTGTCTAAGCTCCTATTCTAATCCAGCCAAACACAATAAACGTTGAAATCTCAGACATTGCCATTGGTGGTATTCTGTCCCAAAGAGATGAGAAAGATGATCTTCTCCATCCTGTGGCCTTTTATTTTCGGAAATTGACACCAGCCGAGAAGAACTATGATGTGAGTGAATAGACGCTATTAGCAGTAAAATCTACACTCCACGGCACTCCACTGTCCGTTATGGTGTTTACAGACCATCGAAACTTAGAATACCTCAGATCCCTCAGATCCCAAGCTCAAAAACGTACCTTGTGATGGCACCATTTGCACTAATGTACACTGTAACCACTTACGCAAATGCCACACCATGTGTGACAACGTACCCTGCAACGGTACCAATTTCACTAATGTACAATGCACCCACCTATGTAAAAATAACACTATGTTTGAAAACATGCCCTGCGCTGGTACCAATTTCCCTAACGTATACTGCATCTACCTATGTAACTGTTCCATTATGGTTGAAAGCGTATCCTGCAATGGTACCATTCTCACTAATATATGCTACAACCCCCTACCCTTACCCCCTGTCTATTTCTTCCTTCTGTACCCCTTCCCCCTCTTACCTGAATTTATGCAAAACCATACAAATAAAAAAAAAAAAAAATGAATACCACAGATCAGCCAAACATCTATGACCTCGCCACACTTAGTGTAATACAAATTACGTATCATCCTGGTTCAAAGAATTAGAAGACTGATGCCTTATCAAGGGTGTTTGAAGATCGGATCTAAGTAGGGAGTCACATGATACCATATTACCTGCTCATCAATTTCTTGCTGTTAACATGTCAATTCTAGACTGTATTTGAAATACAGACAGTCCTCCACCAGATATATTTTCTCCCTTGAGTGGTGTAGTATCTTCTGATACTCTGTAAATAAAGTTTAAAAAACGCATTTACCATTATTAGGAGCTGTCGATCAGCCCCAAATGGTAGCACCTGAGCGGCACAATCCCCGCCTGTGGATATAGTGGTCCTGTAGGACTTTGATAGTTGTTTTATCTGGATCTGATCACAGTGTGTGGGTCTGCAAACTTAATCACAGTCTGTCACCGTTGTAAATGTGTATGAAAAGGAATAAAGCCGCAAATAATGCTCACTCTTTTAAAATCATATATAAAAGTAAATATAAAGAGAGGTACTGATAAAAGAGGAGCAAAAAATGTTTTTTGCTCAATCCCAAAGGGATTAGGTGGTATAATCCCTACCAAAGATATAGCTGGAGTTTTCCTCTAGACAAAATCTTCTTTAAAAACTTCCAGGAGAGTCCAGAATGGTGTAAAACCAATATTACTTTTATTATAAATCCAAATATTAAAATACATTACTGCTTTTCACCAAATAACAGGCTTTATCAAAGTGTTTCAAGCATGACAGGACCACTATATCCACAGGTGTGGATTGTTCCACCCAGGCGCTATCATTTGATGCTGATTGACAGCTCCTAATAACTGTAAGTGCGTATTTTTTACTTTATTCACCGACTCTCAGAAGATACTACACCATTTTGACTTCTCCTGTTCTTTTCACTTAACATATTCACTGACAATCAACTGGATCTAAGACCATCCACAAGGTGCTGCTCCCTCACTACCATACTAACCTATAGGGATATATTGTCTGTTCAGATTCAGCCAAGTTCATTGGACGGTGCTTCACTTCAAAGATGGGAAATGACCCAAAACTTCCTGTGAAAGCAACCCAGGGGTTTTTTAAGACAAAGAAGTGGAATATTCTGCAATGGCCGAGTCAATCGCCTGATCTCAAACCAATTGAACATGAATTTCACTTGCTGAAGACAAAACTTAAGGCAGAAAGAGCCACAAACCAATAACAACTGAAAACAGCTGGAGTAAAAGTCTGGCAAAGCATCATAAAGTGCATTTTTTATATTGTTTAGCAACCAGTTCCTTGTACTGACTTGCTTCACTTTTTGGGAAGTTATTGTATCTGTCTTAGAAAGTATATAAGTTGCCATTTATGTTACAATACCAGTTATGGCAAACCTATTGCACGTGTGCCACAGGAGGCACGCCGAGCCCTCTCTGTGGGCACGCTGCCATAGGTCGCCGGGGGAGGGGCGCTGGCGCCAGTCGGAAGCAATGCAGAGTAGGCATCTGTCTGCCCAAAATGTCAGGCGCCTACTCTGCTTTTTTATCGGGAGGACCTGGAGGCAGGGGGAGGGATCTGGTAAGCAGCTCTCCTGTCCTCCCACGAGCAGGCTGTGGGGAGCGTTGCTGTGTGTTACCATGGCAACACTCCACACAGCATTCTGCACGCGGGAGGACAGGAGAGCTGCAGCCAGAACCTACAGAGAACTTACCACCACCGGACCACCAGGGCTGGCTGTGTCCCCCCCTCCTTCATCAAAGGTAAGAAGAAGGGAGGGGGAATAAAGATTTCATAAACGACCCATTTGTACTGACTCTTGGGGACTATTCACAAAGCGCTGACACATTTCTAGTTTTTTTTTTTTTTTTTAAGCAATTTTTCAAGTTTACAGTGAACATTTTCTTGTACAGTTTGCAAAGCAAGTTGTTGTCATGTGTACAGAAATACATTGTCATCTTGTTGGGTTACAGACATGTTTAACATAGTGTTCACTTCAAACAGTTTTCAATGGTATATCAACTGGGGAGAAAGGGTAGGGGTAGAAGGGGGGGGTTACGGGGGTTGAGAGTCCAAGTCCGAGTTGTTTAGTATTTGCTTTCTTTTGGTTAGGTAGGGGGGAGGAAGGAGTTTGGAGTCTTGAAGAATTTGCTTTGTGGGGTATTTTGTCACCCAATAGTTTGTTATATTTTTATTGTTGTTACCTGTGATCGTGCAGGTGGCATAGTGTCTGTCGCTATAATAGTTATCTCGGGTGGTGAGGTTTCGGATTGTGTGCTATGGTGCGGTGGGGAGGGGGAGGGTGGCTTCGTAGGTCTCCCAGATTTGCCAAGCTGTTTTCCAAAAGGTTGCTTTGGTAGAGAAAGCTGTTCTGCTTGCTATTTCATAGAGTTTAGTGGCGTTTATTATTTGTGAACATTGCGGCATGGTTGGTGCTTCAGCTTTTTTCCATGACCTGCTAATTAGAGTTAGGGCTGCTATATTGATTTGGTAGATCAGGTATCTGATTGTTTTAGGGAGTTTTGGTGGGTAGTTGTGGAGTAGTAGGCAGTCTGGGGTTTGCGGTATGCGGATGCCTGTGCTGGCTTGGATTAGATTTGTCAGTGCGGACCAATAGGGTTGTAGTGCTGGGCATGTCCACCATATGTGGATCATTGATCCGGCTCTTGAGGCGCAACGCCAACATTTGTCAGAGGCCTCCGGGTACATCTGTTTGAGGCGTGTGGGCACTAAGTACCATCTGTATAAGATTTTTCTAGATAATTCAGTATGGTTGGCACTGAGTGTGAGGGTTTTGGGGGTAATGAATATCTTCCTCCACATTGCTTCGGGGAGGGTTTGTCCTAGGTCTTTTTCCCATGCTATGACGAAGGGGTATCTAAATGCGGTATCATGCTGCAATATGTTGGTGTATAGCATTGAGAAGGTTTTTTGTGTTGGTATCAGTTTGAGTATGGTTTTCTCAAAGCATGTTAGTTGAGGTTCGTTGGACGTAACCTTTACTTCGCTTTGGTGTTTTGTTACCCACGAGTGAAATTGCCTGTGGGAGAAGTGGGCTGCTGTTGGAAGTCCATGGAGGTTTTGTACCTCTGTGAATGTTAGGAGGCGGTTCTCTTGGTACAGTTGATGAATGTAATGTATACCATGTCGTTCCCATATTTTGTGGTTAAAGTTCGGTATTATGGAGGGTATGGCAGATAGTGGCATTGTTCTAGAATGTGGGGTTTGTGAGCAACATATATGTTTGTTTTTTTCCCACACTCGTAGTGTCGCCTCGGTGGTCGGTAGTAGTGTGGTGTGTTGTAGCTTGCTTTGTTTGGGGGCCCAGATTAGTGCCATAAGAGCATGTGGTTTGACCGCGTCTCTTTCTATTGTTACCCATTGGGGGGGTAGGTTTTGACTGTGAAGTAGTATCATGCTATTTAGGATGGCTGTCTGATAGTATGTTTGGAGATTGGGTGCGTTCATTCCGCCTTCGGGAGTTTTTTGGTAAAGGGTGCGAGCACTTACTCTTGGCATCTTATGATCCCAAGTGAATTGGTTGAGTAGTTTTTGTGCTTCCTTGAAATATGTGGTTGGGAGGTGGATAGGCAAGGTTCTGAACAGGTATTGGAATTTGGGGATGATTATCATTTTTATGGCAGCTAGTCTGCCGGTCCATGAGAGGTATTTTTTTCGCCAGCTAGTTAATATGGTTCGGATTTCCTTTAGGAGTTTTTGGTAGTTACTTTTATATAGGCCTAGGACGGTGGGTGTGATGGTCAGTCCTAGGAAGGTGAGATTGTCTGATCTCCACTCAAAGTTGTATTGTTTGGTTAGAGGTGTATGTTTGGGTGTGTTTAGGCTTAAGGCTTGTGTCTTGGTTAGGTTGAGTTTGTAATAGGAGCACCTGCTATATTCCTGTAGTAGTTGAAGAAATGCGGGGATAGAGCTGTGGGGGGTAGTAAGTGTGAGCAGAATATCATCTGCGAACAGCGTGAGTTTGTACTCACGCGGTCCAATTTGAACCCCATGAATATCTGGGTTTTTCCTGATTAGTGCTGTGAGTGGCTCTAGCGCCAAGACATATAGCATCGGGGAAAGGGGGAACCCTGCCTGGAGCCGTTCGAGATCTCAAACGGAGTGGATGTGAATCCTCCTCCCACCACCTTAGCGGTCGGGTTGCTGTATAGGGTTTTTACTATTGAGATAAACGTATCCGGAAATCCATATTTCTGCAGGACCGCCAGGAGGAAGGGCCAGTGTAGTCTGTCGAACGCTTTTTCGGCGTCAAGTGAGAGAAATACACCATGCTCCCTCCCCCGTAGGCTCTGTATTAGGTTGATTACCTTGCGCGTTCCGTCGGTACCTTGCCTCCCCTTGATAAACCCCACCTGGTCCTGGTGGATAATCGCCGGGAGAATGTTAGCTAATCTATTTGCGTATATTTTAGCAATTATTTTTATGTCTGTATTTAACAGTGAGATCGTGCGTAGGTTTTGTCCTTTGTTTGGGATTTTGCCTGGTTTAGGGAGAGTCGTGATGTGTGCCATGAGCATATCTGCTGGCATTTTCCCCTGTGCGATCATCGTATTGTACGTTTGGAGTAGTTGTGGTGCTAAAGTGTGCGCGTATGTTTTATAATAAAAGTTTGGGAAACCATCTGGGGCTGGTGATTTACCCGGGGGAAGTGACATTATTGTTTGGATGATTTCTTGTTCTGAGATCGGGGTTTTCAAGGTTTCCATATGGTTCTGGGGAATTTGCGGTAGGGATACCTTTGCTAAGAGGGATTGGATCTCAGGTGTAGTGGGTTGGTGTGTTTGTGCGTCTGTTTTTAGATTGTAGAGTGTAGTGTAGTATTTGGCTAGTTCATCCACTATGTTTTGTGGGTTGTACAATTTTTTCCCCTCTGTGGTTAAGATGTATGGGATCTTATTTTGGGCGTATTTGAGTCTTAGTTGTGTGGCAAGTAGTTTGCCTGTTTTGTTGTTCTGGGTGTATCTTCGTGTTTTGAGTTTGTGCATCATGTACGACGTTTTTGTCATTGCGATAGTGTTCAGTTGATCTGTCAGATTCTCAATTTGTTTCATCAGGGTATCCGTAGGTTGTATATAGTGTTGTGCTGTGGCGTCTCTAAGGTCTCTTAGGATCGTAATTTGTTCTTTTTGTGCTTGCTTTTTATGGAACGATGCGCGGCTTAAGAGGAGCCCTCGCATGACTGATTTGTGAGCTTGCCAAATCATTATGGGTGAGGTTACATTGTCATTATTTGTGGAGAAATATTCTGTGAGCTCTTTTTGGATGATATTGTGGAAGGTATCGTCGTGCAGCAGGGATTCGTTCAATCTCCAGGGGGCATACCCTCTGGGTGTAAACTGTGTTGCTATGGACATGACGTTGGGCGCATGGTCCGACCATACTATGTCTCCTATTTCACAGTGTAGTACTTTCCGGAGGAGTGGTCCGGTGGAGAGAATGTGATCTATTCTGGAGTGTGTTTTGTGGACTTGGGAATGGTGGGAGTACTGACGCTCTGTTGGGTGTAGGGCCCTCCATGTGTCGTAGAGGTTAAACTCCATTATTAGTTTCGTCATAGCTTGGCATTGTGGTTTGAGGTGATGTTTGCGGGATTGTGAAGTGAGCAATGACGTGTCTAAGGTATGGTCTAAAATGTGGTTTAAGTCTCCGCAGACCATTGTGTATTCAGTTTTGATGGGTTCGAGTTTTGAGAGGACTTTGTGGAGGAAATTTCTTTGTTGTGTGTTGGGGCAATATATGTTCACTATTGTGTACTTAACATCATTGATCATGCATAGAGCTATGAGAAACCTTCCCTGGCCATCCGTGATCAGCTTGAGCAGCTCAAAGGAGAGGGATTTGTGGATAAGCAGGGAGACTCCTCTGGCTTTGGAGGTGTGTGCGGCGTGGAATTGTATGGGGTACTCGGCAAGGCCAAATTTGGGGATGCGGAGTTTTACAAAGTGCGTCTCTTGTATACATACTAGATCTGCTTTGACCCGTTTGAGATCTTCCAGTAGTTTGTTGCGCTTGTGTGGAGTGTTGAGGCCCCTTGTATTGTGGGAATAGATTTTCATGTTTGGGGGGGGCTGCGCCTGGGATAGGTGTTTCACTGCCATTTGTATGTGTATTTGAGGCCTACTTTCCCATTGGCTCTGAGGTTGAGGGGTATGATCTTGTTTTTGGAGGTGGTGATTAGGGTAGATTCTGATTTTGTACTCTCACGGGTTAGGGGGTGAGGTTTGATGGGCACGGGTGCGAGTGATATAGGAAACTGGGAGGGGGGGTGGGAGGTTATATACAAAGTTCCCCGCCAAGGGGGAGTGGTGCAGTGTGGGTGCACCTTGGGGTTATCCGTATTGTGCATACGGTACTCGTGGCTACCTGGGCTCGTGGTAGCTTGTTGTGTGGTTTGGGAAGTCATAACAGTTTTGTAACGTTTAACATTAAACATTATTAGACATTATTAGAACAGGAGAAATAAGATAAGAGAATAAAAGAGATACCAACATGTTTGTTATGATCAATATAAATGTTACATGCATAAAACCATGGGCAAATGAGTTCCGCCTCTCCCCACCCTCCCTGTGTGTGCATAAGGTGAGCCGAGTTTTTTTTTTGCGTCACCAAGGCTTCGTGACCTTTTGTCGTTTCGTGCCTCTATTGTCGTGTCCCTATGTCCCCTCTGCAGCTCGAGGTTGTCCCCATATATCATGGCCTCTCTCTCACGTTCGGCCAGGTGGCCGGTGGGCTTGATGGTCATGATGTGTTGCATGTGGCATAGGTGGTGTTTGGTAGGCTGACGTGGGGAGTAGAAGTTGTGGGCATAGGTGGGTTAGTGGGATGCTGTGGTTGCAATACTTGCGTGTCTGGCAACCTGATTAATAGATATCGGGATTGGAGAGAAGGCAGCGCTCAGTCCCATTCCTTAGGCCTTTTTCCAGTCCTGGGTTACTTTGGTAGATGCAGGTAGAGGTGGCTGGCGTCCTGCTTGGGAAAGCTGTAGGCCCCATGCTTTTAGCGTCTTCATTCCATCCACTGGCGTGGTCAGAGGACTGAATTCGCCATTTCTCCACACAAGGAGTTTTGTGGGGTAGCCCCATCGGTACCTGATGTTGTGGTCCCTGAGGGTTGTTGTCACTTGCTGGAACGTTTTCCTTTTTTTCAGGGTCGCTTGAGATAGGTCCGCGAAGATCCTGATGCCTGCAAATTCAGTTGGTAGGTGTGCTGTGCGGCTAGATTTTAATATTATTTCTTTTACGTGGAAGTAGTGAGCACGCAATAACACATCTCTCGGTGTGGATGTTGGCAGGTGCTTTGGTTTCGGGATCCTATGGACGCGGTCCAGAAGCAGCATGTCGGAGGGAATGTCCGGTGCTACCACATTGAAGAGGTCTCGAACGTATCTGGGTAAGTCGTCCTGGAGAACAGCCTCCGGTATCCCCCTTAAGCGGAGGTTGTTCCGCCTTGATCTGTCCTCGGCATCCATTAGCTTTATTTCCATGGTTTCGATGGTGTGCTGTAAGTGGAAGACCTGTTCTGCCAGCTCGTTGTGAGCTGTGGCGTATTCCGCCATCTTTGTTTCAGTGCGGGTAGTTCTTGCGCCCAGGTCTAGGATGTCTTTGCGGAGCGTGTCTACGCTGGAGGTCCATGACTGAATCAGTCTTGCTGACAGTGCCTCCATGGCTTCTTGTAGGTGTCGCTTGGTTAAGGCAGTGTTTAGGGTTGGTTCCCCTGTCTCTGGGGATGAGCTGCCCTCATCCGAGGAGCCTCCGCCATCCCGGGTTGCTGCCTGCACGTGCAGAGCCGTTTGGCTGGGTTTCTGCGCGAAGAATTTGAGTTTTGCTTCTTTGGAAGCGTTCTTCTTGTGCTTGCCCTGCGACATGCTTGCTCTGGCCGTGCTTAATTTGCGTGATCTTCTGAGAAAATGCTTATTGGTAGAGCCCATGTGCCGCAGCAAAAATTCAAGCGGCCTTCTTGCTCGGCGGTTAGCCACGCCCCTCCATTTCTAGTTTTTTAAAATGTTTTGGGGAACAATCTTTTGTGTTTAGCAGCTTTTTAATTCTTGTTTTTATACACTTACTGACATTTATAATTTGATTGCACTTTTCTGCTAGTATTTTTATAATTTAGGCCAAAATAACTGATTTGAAAAAATCTCCAACTCGGCTATAATGACAAGTTGACTATTTTAGCTTAGATTGTGCAATTCAGATTTTCATTTTTAGTTTAGTGAATGACCCTCCTTGTCTCCCAGTCTTTCTTGCCCTGGTGTCAAACTCCTGCCTTACAGTATATCCACTGAAGAGTATGCTCATAGGATTTTAAGAATAAACAAAATAATTTTATTATAAACAAACGTTGATATAGTCAATGTTTCAATCCTAATACCTGATTTAGCACAAAACAGTACGGTAATGAGCTGAAACTTTGACAGAAAGATATTACACTTTTGCTCAGAATAAAGCAGCTATTTTGCTTATTTTATCCTATGAAAATGCTCTTTCATGTTGGAGAGATAATTTTCAATATTAAATTTGTTCCCATATGTATATCTATGCACTATATTGGCACAATGCCTGACAGGGCTGGTGTAATAAACTTTCCAGGGCTGCTTTTTATTCCCAGCCTGGCCCTCTATGCTGCTTCACCTAATCAAGAGTCAATTGGCTTGGAAGCTGTGCCAGTTCGTGAAATGGTTAAACTGTGGTGAAACCTTGCCAGTTGTGTTTTTCTGAGCTACATTTTTCACATAATAGTCATTATAGGTTGTGTGGACAAATAGCAAGTTGTTCAGCACTCCTGTCATACGTGATCACTTCTTAATTATGGCATCATAAAAGGTGACAAATGTTTAACAATAGAAAATGAAAAATTGAAAAGACCAATTTTTATGCCTGAAATGTTGTCACTTTATAAGATGCTTTAATAAAGTATTGCTCATGTATGAAAGGAGAACTGGACCATTTGCTATATGTCTGCTAATTCTAAACTACGGACTTGAAATTATTTTTCGACCTCCTTTAAAATGGGTATGTTTTGAATGCTAACCGCGTAATCTACTTTTAGCATGGGTTGTATGAGCTAAATGAGAAACGTTATTCAGAAGCAACCAAGTTAGCCTTTACTGGCCTTCGAGAAGGGCTCTGTCAATCTTGTGCAATATTTAATTTGATGTATAGTAAATTAAAGTTGTTTTCCAAAGTAACTGTTAAAGATTAATTTTTAATCCTTGCCAAGTAACTTGAAAGAATACTTTGTTGAAGGACAGTTTTATGCTACACAGTGCGTTTTACAACTATGGGGAAATCCCTGGGGATTATAACTGTAAAAGAGTTTATGGAAAAACTAGAATACATAATAGGCTGCAAAAAGCATGAAACACAAAATAATTTAAAAGCTCCTTTTTAAAGCCAAAATATATTGTTCAGCTCTATTTTCAGGATTCTGTAGGGAAAGCCTGAGCATTCTGGAATCCTGTATTTCAGCTAAATGGTTCATGTAAAAGTCATTGGAAACCAGCCTTAAAGAGTGAATGAGAGATTGAATTTAACCTCTTCCCTCCTAAACATGTGCATAAAAGGGATAACCAGGTTTTCCATTTCTTCAAGCATTGGTTTCCACTCTCCATAGACACAGCACACACAAATTTTCCCAAACTACATCTACCTTTGTAGGCTAAACAAAAAGGAAAAGCAGCTTTGTATTCCTTGCACTATAGTATCCATTTAATCTAGAGCACGGGTTGATAACCCGTGGTACGTGTACCCCCAGGGGTACAATTCAGTGCACCAGGGGGTACGCAGAATTATTTAGGTAATGGCGGCTGCACAGGTTGGGAACCCGGTGAGCCGCGATGGCCATGGGCAGACAGGGGAGACCACAGGATCTCCCCTGCCAGTCCGTGCAGAGCCAGCGCTATCCTAGCGCCGGCCCTGCTGTGTGCAAAGATCTCCCTGCAGGAGAGGGAGGGAGGGAAAGGTCCTCCCACGTTTCTGCAATTCTGAGCGTTGCCGCGGGTTACCACTGCAAAGCTCCGAGAATCTCCGGGAGGACTGTACGTGGCCTGCATCCAGAGGAAAAGGTAAGGAGAGGGGACATACAATATACAAAATATATAGGCACCCCCATACACACACGCACAAACTCAGAACCCCTCACACACACAGAGCACCCCTCTCTCTCACACACACACACAGTACCCCTGATACACACAGCACCCCTCACACACTCCCCTCACACACACAGCACCCCTCACAAATACAACACCCCACACAGGGCTGGACTGGCCCACCGGGATACCGGCTGGTGCGCTGGTGCACCTGTGGCTGGCAGTGCAGCACTCTTTTTTTCCTCCTCTGACTTTTTTTTGTTTGGGGCTGGAGCCTGGGGAATAAAGTTTGCTGGATGACTGCAGTGAGGCTGCCAGAGGCTGGTAACAGGTGACAGCTGGTTTGCAGCAGCGAGCACTGAAATTCTCTCACAAAAGCACCTTCTTAATTTCCAGCTCTGCATGGACAGTCTGGCAGAGCCAACCCACGCACTGGAGCTCCGCCCCCCCAGCCTCACCCTGGTGACCTTTCACACAGGAATTAGAAGAGCTTCATGAAAACCCCCTCATATTGCATTTGAAGTCCAGTTACCATGCAGTTACAGGTACTTATATATTCACTCAGCAGCCCATGATTGATTGTATGGATATGAAGAGCTTGTAGTGATCTTGTGTGTGTCAGTGAGTTTGTAGTGAACATATATGTGTGTGTGTGTTTGTGCATTTCTGTACTGTGCTTGAGTGGGTGCCAGTGACCTTGTGTATGTCAGGGAGCTTGTAGTGAGCTTATGTGTGTGTGTGTGTGTGTCAGTGAGTTTGTAATGAGCTTGTGTGTGTGTGTCAGCCTGTCTGTATCAGTGAGCATGTCTGTACTCAGGGACGTATTAGCCGCAGGGCAAACAAGGCATTTGCCTTGGGCAGCATTTTCCAGGGGGCGGCAAAAAACGCTGCCCCCAAATGCCCAGGGCAAATGTCTTGTTAGCCTCGCGGTTAACTGACATGCTGGGCGCTGGGCGGGCGGGCGGCTGGCGAGGGAGCACTTCCTCTTAGCGGTCTGCTCGGCTCCCTCGCCCGCCCAGCGCCCAGTAGCCAGCCCATCAGCCCGACCGGCAGCCACTGGACCCCAGGGAAAAAGAGAACCCCCCCCAGCATTCCCAAAGGTAAGGAGGCTGGGGGGCCGTTAAAAAAAAAAAAAGTGTTAATGTGAGTGATTGTGTGTGTGTGTGTCTGACTGTGTGTGTGTGTGTCTTACTCTGTGTGTGTGTCTGACTGTGTGTGTGTGTCTGACTGTGTGTGTGTCTGACTGTGTGTGTGTGTGTCTGACTGAGTGTGTGTGTGTCTGACTGAGTGTGTGTCTGACTGTGTGTGTGTGTGTGTATTTAGAAGGTGGGGCGGGGGGAAGGGTTGGGTGGGGGTGGCACCTGAGTTTTGTCCTGCCTAGGGCAGCACAAAACCAGGATACACCACTGTCTGTACTGTGATTGAGTGTGTGCCAGTGACTTTGTGTATGCCAGTGAGTATGTCTGTATTGTGCTTGAGTGTGTGTCAGTGAGCTTATAGTGAGCTTATATGTCAGCGAGTTTGTAGTGAGCTTGTCTGTATTGTGCTTGTGTGTGTCACAGAGCTTGTCTATAGTGAGCTTGTGTGTATCAGTGAGCTGGTAGTGAGCTTGTCTGTATTGTGCTTGTGTGTGTGTGTTAATGAGCATGCCTGTACTGTGTTGGAGTGTGTTTCAGTGACTTTGTGTATGCCAGGGAGCTTTTAGTGAGCTTGTGTATGTCAGTGAGCTTGTGAGTTTGTCTGTATTGTGCTTGTGTGTTTCAGTGAGCTTGTAGTAAGCATGTGTGTCGTAAACATGTGTTTGTCACTGAACTTGTATTGAGTTTGTAGTGCGCTTGTGTGTAGTTAGCGTGTGTGTAATTGTGTCAGTGAGCATGTCTTTAGTGAGCTTGTGTATGGGTCAGAGAGCTTCTGTGTATATCGGTGAGCTTGTGTTTATTGGTGAGCTTGAATGGGCTTCTGTGTGTCAGTGAGCTTGTTTTTAGTGAGCTTGTGTGGGTCAGAAAGCCTCTGTGTGTGCCAGTGAGCTTGTCTGCAGTGAACTTGTCTGGTATTGCGCTTGTGTGTGTCAGAGAGCTTGTCTATAGTGAGCTTATTTGGGTCAGAGAGCTTGTGTGTGTGTGTGTCAGTAAGCTTGTCTGTAGGGAGCTTGTGTGTGTCAGATGAGCTTGTGTGTATTTGTGTCAGTGAGCATGTCTGTAGCGTGCGTGTGTGTCATTGAGCTTGTCTGTAGTTGTTACGGGCAAATGCAAATATTACAAGTTTTAGAATGAAATGTTGTATTTCTTAAACTGTGTACTTTGTCTTTAAGAGATATTGCAAACTGACAAGGTGTTAGAAATGGAACATATTGTTTTTCATAACTGTTTCTTTAAGCAATAACCTCAGTGCATAATATGTTTGCGCCATTTTGTCCCAGACGAATTACAATAACAATAATGCATAAACAAGTTTCAAGGCTATGCTACGACTCTTGCAGTACACAATATACTGTGGTAACCCCAAGTTAATGGAACTTCCCCAAATCTGGGAATCTCCCACTACAGTACACTTACGACTTAGTATAAACAACAGATAACCTAGACTTTAAGATGCCATCTTGAACTAAGTCAGGAAAATTTCCATGACGTATACACCCTTTAGTTATGGCCTTGTATGTTTGCCAAATTAAGGGAGGTCCTAAACTGAATAAAGTAAAAGAAGTGTTACTTTTTCATATTTGAACTACAGTAACCTAAAATGGAGACACCTAAGGTATAAATAGGTGTACTTTTAAATGTTAAGACACAGAGGAGAGACTTGGAGACAGACGCTGCTCCATCTTAAAATGACAGAGAGGCTGACATGATGACATGTTCAGAAGGGTATGTTAACCTATTAATGATATTTGCAAGCATGTAATTTAATCTTATAAACTCTGCTATAATGGATTTTATATTTTTATATAATAAATATCCAAAAGACAATCTTGCTTCCAAGACAATCCTTATTTTATATTGTATTCTCAATTATTTATATATGTTAAATAGAGGATCTCTTACACTATATAAAATTATGGCTAAGATATCTGTATGGTTAGCCCTACTAAGTTCTATGCTTTAAGACATTATAGTGGTAAATAAGGGAACCACCAGCGGTTACAATTGGCGACCACGAAGGGACTTTGTACTTGGAAGAACTTGTGTTTCTGTCATTGAGCTTATGTGTGTGTGTCATTGAACTTGTCTTTAGTGAGCTTGTGTGTATCCGTGATCTTGACTTGAGTGAGCTTGTGTGTATCAGTAAGCTTGTCTGTACTGCGCCTGTGTATGGGTAAGAGAGCTTGTGTGTATCGGTGAGCTTGTCTGTTGTGAACTTGTATGTGTCATCCTGGAGGATGGCTATTACAGCACTGCAATACCTATCACCTGAAGTGAGGGGCTGGAGGTAAGAAACAATATAACAGCTCCCAAAACAAATCAATATAAAAAATACAAACACTATGTGACACAATGAATTATAGGGCTGGAATATTTTTTTTCCCCAGGGCTGCTTTCTTTTCCCAGTCCGGCCCTGACCCCACACACAGAGCACCCCTCACAAAGACAGCACCCCTCACAAATACAACACCCCACACACAGAGCACCCCTCACACATACACACACAAAGAGCACCCCTCACACACACACACAGCAACCCTCACACAGAGTACCCCTCACATACACAGAGCACCCCTCACACACACAGAAAGAGCACCCCTCACGAACACAGCACTCCTCACACACACAGCACCCATCACACACACAGAACACCCCTCACACAGTGTCTGTGTATCTGCATGTGTGTGTCAGTGTGCATCTGTATGTCAGGGTGTGTATCCTTAAGTGTGTCATTGTATGTATTTATGTGTCTGTTTATCTGTGTGTCAAGGTGTGTAATTCTGTGTATCTGCATGTGTATCTGTGTGTCAGGATAAGTATCTGTGCATGTGTCTGTATCACACACAGATGCACACCCTGGCACACATTCAGATACATATACTAACAAACATGCAGATACACAGACACATATACATACGATGACACACTTAATGGTTAATACTCTGACACACATGCAGATACAAAGACACAGATGCATACACTGACACACTCAAGGATTCATACATTATGTTTCTTTGTATCTGCATGTGTGTCAGGGTGTGTATCTGTGTGTCAGGGTATGTAGCCTTAAGTATGTCAGAGTATCTATATAAGTGTCTGTGTATGTATCGCTGTGCATCTGCATGTGTGTCTGCATATCTGCATGTGTGTCAGAGTGTGTATCAGTTTGTCAGTGTGTTAGGGTGTGTATCTGTATGTTTGTCAGGGTATGTATCTGTATGTATCTCTGTGTATCTGCATGGGTGTCAGAGTGTGTATCGGTTTGTCAGTGTGTCTGTGTGTCAGGGTATGTGTCTGTATGTGTGTCAGTGTATGTATATATGTGTCTGTGTATATGCACGTGTGTCAAGGTATGCATCTGTGTGTCTATCTGTATGTGTTTCAGGGTGTGTATCTGTATGTGTGCCAGGGTATGTATCTGTGTCTGACACACAGCTACATACCCTGACACACATACAAACACACACCCTGACACACATACAGATTCACACCCTGAAACAGACACACAGATACATACCTTGACACACATGCATATACATAGACATATAGATACATTCACTGACACACCTAAAGATACAGACACTGACACACAGATACACACCTTGATACACATGCAAATACACAGACACAGATACATACACTGGCACACATAGATACATATAATGACACACATATACATACCCTGACACACATGCAGACACAGATACCCACACTGACACACAGACACTGACACAAATACAGATTCAGACACTGACACATAGATACATACCCTGACACACATACAATATCTGTATCTGTATGTCTGTATCTGCATGTGTGTCAGTGCCTGTATCTGTATCTCTGTGTGTCAGTGTGGGTATCTGTGTCTGTATATGTGTGAGAGTATGTACCTGTGTGTGTCAGTGTCTGTGTATCTCAATGTGTGTCAGTGTATGCATCTGTGTTTCACTGTATCTGTATATGTGTAAGGGTATGTATATTTGTGTCATAATGTGTATCTGTGTACCTGTATGTGTGTCAGTGTGTGTCTGTGTATCTGCATGTGTATCAGTGTTTTTGTCTGTATCTGTATGTGTTTTTATCTGTGAATCTGTATGTATGTTTTGTGTGTGTGTATGTATGTCAGTGTTTTTATCTGTATGTGTGTGCATCATTATGTCTGTACATCTGTACCTGTATGTATGTCGGTGTATCTGTATCTATATGTGTGTCAGTGTTTGTTTATGTGTGTCTGCATGTGTGACAGTTTGTGTGTCTGGGGTAGAGGAGTAGCAGGGGGAGCCTACGGCAGAGGAGAAACAGGGAGAGCTTGGGTCAGAGGATAATCAGGGAGAGCCTGGGGCAGAGAAAATGGGGATATAGGACAGAGAAAAACAAATACATTTGAAATAAATGCAACTATATTAATTACAAATATTTTGCTAATGGGAGGGGTACAATTTATGAAAATGGACTGCCAAGGGGTACTCAAGTGAAAAAAAGTTGGGAACCACTGATCTAGAGGCATACTGGTCTTACAGTGACCATTTGTTCTTCCTCTTACTGAGATCCATCCAAAGATTGATCTCTGGCCAATCAAATTAAGCATTTAGGGCCCAACTGTGAATGTGGCTAAAGTTAATTATAGAATACATTTAGGGGCAGGGCCGCCATCAGGGGGTGCCCAGCCGCCCGGGCCCCACGTGGAGCGCCCATCAGGTGGCCCGGTCAGCGCTGCAGCCGTGTAATTGCGTGACCGGGCCCCTTTAAAAAAAATTGCGGCTACACCGCAAGTGCGGCTGGAAGGAAGTGACGGCCAGTCACTTCCTCCCAGCTTACTCCTCGCGGGAAGGAGAGAGACAGCAGAGGAGAGGCACCCGCTCCCATCATCCCCAGTAACCCTCCTGCAACTTAAAGGCAAGGAATAGGAGGGTGGTTGAAAAATGAGGTGTATGTCTGTATGTGTGTGTGTATGTATATTAGAATGTATGTATGTGTCTGCATGTATGTATGTCTGTTTGTCAGTATGTATGTGTGTAACTATCTATGTATGTATGTATATATATATATATATATATATATATATATATTTTGTGACAAAAGTACTCCTTTCCCTTGGTACCTTGTCCTGGGATTGGGGTGTTACACACAGTCTTTTCAGGCTTTAGAGACACTTCACACGCTGGATGAGGTAAACTGACTTGCTCTTTTATTGAGGTTCCAACACAGTAAGGTATAAAGGTAACAAAAATATATCAAACAAAAGCCTTGCTCTTCTGAGCACTAACTAAACAAAATAATCAGCTAACTGGGTTGGATGGCTTGTCCATTTCCCAACATAAACATAAACATAAACATAAACATAAACATAAACATAAACATAAACATAAACAGCCTTACTGCTTCAGGGTTTTCAGCTCTCTGTTTCCACTCACAGAAACCAAACACAATCTCCCTTCTTCCTTGGCAGGGGAGTACTTAATAGCACTGGTAATTGACAATCCTTTTCAGGTGAGTTAGATTAGGATTCAAACTCCAGAACTGGACTTCTCACCAAGCAACTTCCAAAATGTGGAGTGGAGCACTGGCCCACCCTACTCTCCAGGTGCTCCACCCCAGGGCCCAAATATACACATATTTAAAGTGCAACATTCATTAGAACATAACACATTTCCCTGGGGCTAATTACACAAAGTAAGAACCTTGCAAAATCTGGGGAGGTATATAGGTTCCTTCCAGCACAATTCCTTGTTTTCTGTCACAATATATATATATGTCAGTATGCATGTCTGTGTGTATCTATGTATGCATGTGTATGTCTGTTTGTGTGTGTGTCAGTATGCCTGTATGTGTGTATGTCTGTTTCAGTATTTGTGTATCTTTTTGTGTGTGTCTGTGTCCTTTTGTGTCTGTGTGTGTGTGTGTGTGTATTCCTGTCGGTGGGATTTGGAGGCGGAGCTTGGAGGCAGGCACCCGGGGGCCCAGACCTTGAGCTGTGTTAGGGGCCCCAAAAATATCTGATGATGGCCCTGTTTGGGGATATTGATGTGGTTGCAGGGTTTCTAATGCAGGGGTTTGAAGGATACAGCATGGTCAGTAGGCGCAAAGCTTACAAATGTAAGATCATGCATTACTCTGAATTTTGTCACAATCAGGCTTATTCACGAAGGTCTGAATCTCCTTGTACCGAATAGGGCAAAACCATTTGGTTGTTTACAGTGCCATTTGGACAGCACCCCCATTATTAAGATTTAGCTTCCACCTATTGCCTCGTGCTGACACTCAGCTAATGATCCAGCCTGCATTGTACGGCTCATATCAGAAGAGCTAACAGTATCACTGAACATAAGCTTCTGACTCTCACTTCCATCTGCAGTGAGGTGGGAAGTGGTGCCTAGCGGACCGTTCTAAAAAAGTTTGACTACTTACAATGATAGACAATACTTGATAAAGGCTCAGAGAGGAGCCGAAATGTTGTCTCCACTTCCTTGTTTCAAAATAAAAAGACTGCCTGTTAGAAGAAACCTCACATGTGTCTGGATATTTATTTTCTTCCGTTTGATGTCTTCAGGGGAGCACCCTGTAGGAAATATTCCCCCCTTTTTTAGTGCGTGCACTTGTTTTCTTGTAAAGATAAAATTATAGGCTCCAGGGCACTCCTGGTACCATAACCACTAGACACTCTGTATTGGTTATTATGATTGGAGTGTTACTTTAAAGTAACTATTAGATTGCTTGATACATCCCTATCTGTACTTAAAAAATATATATGTGGTAACTACGTGAGAAAAGAACATTGCAATTACACAAATTTATAAACTTCACTTTACTAAACAGCGTTTAATGAAGATTTGATGCAAAATGTAGGCCAACTTGGCCAAGTTTGTAAAGCCTATGTGAAAAATTGTAAACTGCTGCAGCTTATTTGTATTTTGGAATTGCATAGTAAAGATGCCTTAATTAATTTTGTCTATTACTGTATAAAAGGCCCTTATAGTCATGAAGGGGTTAAGACACCCTGCAAGATGCATAATGCTATTTGTGGATGTGTCTGGAGAAAGCTGACAAGTCCATGGGATTTCTAATTTTGCAAAGTGAAGCATGACTCATTGTCATGGGCACACTGCCATTAATAGCGGACTTAGGTGTTGTTTAATTTGCTTTCCTCCGCCTTACAGTAAATGCTTACTTCATCAGTTAAAAATTAATTGTTTTCATTTAACCATATAAGTTCATGTAAAGGACAGGGCACATTCTGTCATGCTGGGAACTCATGTCAACACAAGAGGACGTAAAAAATACAATGCTAGGAATGTCACACTGCCATGTTAGCTATATAAATATAAAAACCATATTTAATTTATTATTTATTACTGGCTTTTATAAAGCGCCAAGAAATGCCGCAGCGCTGTACAATTGGGGAAAAGACAAACACAATAAAAACAGACACAAACGATACAACAGGTAGAGGGCCCTGCCGGTGAGCTTACAATCTAAAGGTTAAAATTGGGAGATGAGACAAGAGGTAGCAGAGGAATTTGTTTGTGATGGCAGAGATAATTAATAGTATAACCACAGCAGCTTTGGGAACACCATTATTATCTATAAAAATAATTAAACATAGTGTAGATGGTACAGAACCAGAGTATGTATATATACATGTAGTATTTAAACTCACAAACAGAGAGCTATAAACCTAGCTCTGGTGTAGATAGCCTCCGGGTCCGTATAGACGACCCACCTTTATGCGGAACATGTATTTTGTTGTGGAGCCCCTGTGGCTCTATAGTTAAGCGTTGTGCAGTTTCGGACTGTACTCCCTAGATGTATATTGAAGATAGAGATCGGGAACCAGGATATAAAGATAAAAATATTTTCTCAAATAATTTATTAATAACACAATTACAAATAAAAATGGCACAATGTCCAAATAATACCGTGACGAATGGTTCCTGGCTCACCGTGGACTGTTTACATGCACCCTAAATTGGGGGATGAAATACCGGTGTTTTTCTTCCGCTACATAATTACCACACTCAGGTAAAACGTTTGCGGTTCACACCTCACGTCAAAGGTGATTGACGGGTCCTCTCACACGGAATTCCGTTAATGAATATATTGGCTCTCTGTTTGTGAGTTTAAATACTACATTTATATATACATACTTTGGTTCTGTACCATCTACACTATGTTTAATTATTTTTTATAGATACCTATGGGGGGGGGGGGTGTTTATCGGTTGCAAACTTTTGACAGTAGTGACTGAAAGCCAGTCAATGAGTAGTGGCTAACAGGTCCCATGTTTTCTATGGGAGCCACAAGCTGTTTTTAAGCAGCTGCTTTACGACTGGTTTCCAGGCCTGTTGCTTTTCAATACTGGTTGCCGCCAACCCAGAAAATTTAACACCAGTCTCAAAGCTAGTGTAAATAAGTTAATGACACATAAATCCGTGCGTTTTATTGAAACAAAAAGTTTTACGTTTCACTGACTAG